GGTGGGGGGGATAATGAGAGAGGGGCCGAGGCCGAGGCCGAGGCCGAGACAGAAAAGCAGAGGAGGAGAGAAAGAGACAGAGACGAGAGAAAAATACAGAGGTCTCGTTGCCACAAAAGCGTAGGAACCAAGAGGTACAGTACCAGGTCGAGTTCGAGAATGTTTTTTCACGGACAACGCCGACTAGTGGCCCACACCTTCATGGGCACGATCGAGAATCTTGCTGTTGCTGCTAAGCATATGCGCGCATCGAGCTTATCCGCATCGAGCGCGTTCTGGATGAAGTCTTCCGCGAACGCATCGCCCCATGTGACCACGGGCGGTGGGGAATGTTCGGCGTAGGGAAGTCGGTGGCGGGCGCCAAAACGCGAAGGAGAGAACGAACAGCCTGGCAGGAAAACCGTGTTGGACTCGCATTATCGCGTCCCCAACACTGGAACACAAAACAAAACACACGTTGTAGTCGTGCAGTACCGTGCTGTACCGCAACCGCCACCTGGCGACCGCGAACTGGATTCGAATCCACCTTGCGCTTGAATCGTGGTGGTAGGCGCAGCCGCGACAAACCCTCTCCCTGCCTACGTTGTAACAGTGATACCTGTCCGTCGCCGTTCTTGTCGAAAAAAAAGAAAGCGCCGTTTATCTCCTTCTCGTAGTCGGTCTCCATGCCCCCCACTCTCATCAACACCACGAACTCCTCGAATGATATGTCTCCAGTGCCGTCCAGATCCACCTTTTGGAACGCAACAAACAAATGTGGAAGCGGTTGGTGCATAAATATTTACGCCCTGCACGCACGAAAAAAACAATACTAAGAATTGAACGAACAAATTGTGCTATGCAAATTCACCTTGAACCTAACAAACAAATCCGGACGCGGTTAATGCACGTTTACGCCCTGCATGCATGGAACCCAAAACACCAAAAAATAAACGAAAATTTGTGCCGTACAAATCCACCTGGAACAAAACGAACAAATCCAAGGCTGGTACATATTTACGCCCTGCACGAACGAAAACCGAAAGACTAAATATTGCATGAACAATTTATGCTGCTCAAATCCACCTTTAAAAGAAAACGAACAAATAAGTCAAAGCAGTTGGCACATACGCCCTGCCCAAAACTCCATGAAAATGAAAAAAAAAACAAAATTACAAAACCGTATGCATATTACAAGAAATGTTTCCAGTGTCGTCGAAATCCACCTCGCAAAAGATAAGCAAACAAAGCAGACGTTGTAGGCGTTGAAAGTCTTTGCAGTAGGTGAGAGAAAAAGTCGGCTGCCATTCTGAGTTAATTTTCAGCCGGCACACGGAATTACTATCCTGTTTCAGCGCCCACCCAACGGCGGGCCAGCGGCACCTCATAGCAGCTAGTACAAAGGAGGCAACCGTATCTTCGGTTGGTGGTACACGTTCCACCTGACCGCGCTCAGGCCATTGCCATTCAGTGCCCTAAGCGAAACGGGCTGGCAGCGGTGTGCCGCTATGACAATCCGGAGCACAACATTCCAACTCTCACCCCCCCCCGTCCTCTCGCCGGTCCTACATTCACGGGGACCCCCTACGCAAAGAAAGTAAGGTTACTAGGACAACGGACCCGGGAGGGGGCACGCGGACCCTAAACCTAACCCCAACCTAGCCAATTCTATGCTGTATTCCGCATGTATGCTTGTTTAGAAAAACCTGGGTAGACCATTCCTGGCTCCGGAAAACACACCTAGTTGTGTGGAGTCACGTCGGGTTGCCGTTCTCGTGTACGGGGGGAAGACTCCTGAGAGGGACATCTTCCCCAAGAAAACAATTTCCACTCTTCACAAGTACATGTACCACGTCTCCGCAGCACCATGCAAAAACAACTGCCGTGCTTATGGAAATGGGATACCTTTCACCCTCTCCCACACTCTGGGACCTCATTTCGGTCAAAAAGCGCCACACGAAATTGATACCTTGTCCATGAGCTTCTTCAGCTGATCCTTTGTCGGCGAGTAGCCTAGAGAACGTAGCACCGTCGCCAGCTCAACCGAGTCAATGGTTCCGTCCTGTCGGAAAACATGTATTAGTGGTCGTTTTCCGATTCCACGGAAATTGCGCGAAGGGGGGGGGGCAAGGGTCGTCAGCCATGTACATTCAGTTCCGTGGCCATGAGAGCACCCACGGCACGCTCCGCGATGGCAGTACCATCACAGGAAACAACAGCATAGCCTGTATTTTGAAAGTTGTACCGTCCGAGGAACGCTTGGCTCTGTCGTTATGTTGTCGTTGCTGCTGTCGTTGCTGCTGCGGGTCGTTGCGGTTGTTGTTGTTGTTGATAATGTTGTCCAAGGCTATCCCAACATGAAAAATGATGATCGAAACACATTTCCAAAGCATATCCCCCTGTTCCGTACAACTCGTCCCGAATTTGACGGAAGCTGCGCGGGGGTGGTAGTACACTCATGCACATGCTTCCTTCCCCCGTGGTCTTTGGACCATGGATCTCCTCTATCATGCCGGGACGGGGCGGTGTGCCGGGATTCGCCTGCCAAGGCCACGTTGATCAACGATGAACCAGAAGCTGGTCATCATGCTTGTTTCTGCCCTGCAAACCAGATACGTCATGAGTTAATCGTGCATCCCGGCTAACCAAACGTTTCACAGTGGGCAGGCACGACGATGGATGGCTCAAGTGCTGCAAGGGGGGCTCGACCTTTAGGCGCTTGCGCACAACAGGCTCGCCACACGTGGCTTCGTGCGTGACCACACTTGGAGCATAGTCTGCTTTTCCACGTCAGGTAGAACTGCGGGGGAGGGGGGGGGGGGGGGGGNGGGGGGGGGGGGGGGGGGGGGGGGGGGGGGGGGGGGGGGGGGGGGGGGGGGGGGGGGGGGGGGGGGGGGGGGGGGCTGTACTCCAAGCCGTGCATGCCGTGGTCGTTAGAACATTGACCTCGCATCGCTACAAAGCCGGGACGGAGTACGCCGAGTTCTCACCGGACCAGGCTCTCAAATCACTTGCGGGGGAGGGGTGGGGGGGGGGGTCACAGCAGATTGCAACGTGAGGCAGACAGGCAGACAGACAGGTAACTACGCGCATCCGCACGCACCCCATTCCGATCGAAGTTGTCGAACGCTTCCTTAAGGTCCGCGACGTCTTCCTCTGAGAGCCCTCTGATTGCCACGGAGTCCTCGTTGACGTGTTTCGGCATCGTCGCCTTCCTCTCCCCTCTCGCTTAACGGTATCCGATGAGTAAAAAAATGCCTGCGTCGTGTGATGCGAGGGGGAACGCAAGCTCAGCATCGTCGACAATCGAAAAAAGGGCCCTCAAGAAAAAAAAAAACACCCTCGAGCGTCGCAGCCTGGGTCTCGAACGAGCCCGTGAACAAGCTTATTCCAAGCCGATATCAAACTTGACCAAATGGTGTTGACTTCGGCTGCAATAGGTCGCACCGTGTGGCCGCGTGTGGGCGAGCTCCGCAACAGCATTCGCGCCGTGAAAAACGTAGAGCAAACCTCTTGGGCTCGGAAGCATTGCTCACTCGAAACCGTGAGCCCACACGTGGAAGCGTCCAGAGTACAAGGGTCAAGAAAATAAGGGGAGGGAAGGGGGAGCTCACGCGGTTCAAGCTGGTCAGCGGTGCCGTGGTGCACAAGCATGGGGGCGGGGGGGGTATGGGATTGGCGATTTTATGCCACCAACGAACGGCCCCCGATGGTTTATTGAATCGGTTTTTAATAAGTCTGCTATTAATGACCCTTCCCACCTACGGGCTTTTTGCGCCCTCCGATTGGTCGAGCGTTGGTTAGGGCGGTTGACTCCTCTCCAGCGCCCTCTCCCCATTTCGCATACCGACAACGCGGCGCAGCCGCGTTTGAGCCCAGTTCTCGGCGGCTACAGTAGGCCGTGCGTTGGCCGTGGGTGAGGGTTAGGGTTGGGTTGGGTCGGCCACGATGTGTGACACATCCCATGCGAGGAACCTAGGTTAAACGTCCGGATCGACCTGAGAGTCCCAAACAGACGGTCAAAATACCTCATCGAGTGGACACAGCGCGCTCAGCATAGGCACGCCTATCTCTCCAGCCTCGCGGCCGGCGTCAAGAAGAGCGGGGTAGCAGGCCAATCAGCGCTGCTGCTTGAACGAAGCGCTTCGCGCGGAAAACCAGCACATCTCTGGCTTGCGACACCTGCTGCGCGCTGCTTTTTCGTTGGTGACGTCGACACGTCAACAAAAAAAAAAAAAGTTGTTCGTACCCGCAGCCACCAGGCAAGGAATCACCGACCACGCCATCGGTCCGTGAACATCAACCTTGGTTTTTAAGCAAATGTTTCGGGACTTGAGCACAAGGATCCGAACGGTAGTCGTAGGTTGTGGGAGCCCGCAATTCCATGGGATAGAACTTTTCCACTGGACGGTGGGTCTAAGCGGACCCTCCCTGCAGGATGTGCCGCTCCGTTTGTCTAACCCGCCGAAAACGAGTACATTGAAACACTAAACAAGCGAGTCGTGGTCGTGGGTCTTGAGGCATTTTCTACACGGGTAAACCTCCCAAAGTTTCATCACTTGTGCGCTAAACACTTTGCTGGTGGTATGCATAGAGTCTTCACGGGTGTGTTTGTTGTTGTTGTTGTTGACTGCACATTAAACCGTATGCCAGTTGCTAAATGCCAAAATCTAGCAAAGACTCTCGGCCCGTGGTCACGAAAGTGCTGGAGCCATCTGAGGATCTAAAGAACACGCACACGTAGCAAGAAAAAGGTGTACAAGAGCCCGAAGAGGTACGCATACTACTACACCTATATATAATCCCTGCAGCACCGTACGCGTGCCCAAAACTGAACTACACGTCCGTCTCACCGTTCGACTACAGCAACATCAC